TTAACTCCAGACAGAGACTGATTACCACACTGGTGCTCACTCCTTTTGCGGTTGGATGGGAAGACAATTGGAAGGATAAAACTGAGCAAACTTATGGGCTGAGCAGTTTAATAGATAAAGCAAAAACTGAATGTGCAAGCAAAGCAAAACAAAGAACTAATTCACTGCTTCCGTGGGCAAACAGGTGTTCAGCCATCTTCAGGAAAGCAGGGCTCCATCATGCACAATGGTTACTTTGGAAGACAAATGCCACCACCACGAACATCCCCTCTTTCTTCTTCCCTCAGCTTTATATGCCGAGCATGAGCATATGGTATGGAGTATCCCTTGGGTCAGTTTGTGTCATCTGTCGTGGCTGTGTCCCCTCCCAAATCATTGTGCCCCACCAGCCTCCTTGCTGGTGGGGTGAGGAGCAGAAAAGACCTTGACTCACTTAGCCCTGCTGAGCTGTAATTAGAACATCCCTGTGTTTTCATCAACTCTATGTTCAGCACAAGTCCAAAACACAGCCCCATACTTGCCACTGTGAAGAAACACACTTTCCACTAGACCTGGTTTCTCAGAGCCCTTGGGAATATTCAATGTAGGTGTCTTTAAGGCATGTGTGTGCTTGAAAAACCTTCCGGTTTTCTTTAACCTGGAAGAAATGTCTATGCCTTGACTGAGAGTCCCTTGACATCTCAGTTTAGTCTTGTGTAAGTAATTTCATTCTGGGATCTTTATGTCAATTCAGCTTTGTCTAAAACTAAGCACTTAGCCTCCAGGAGAAACACTGTGATATTTACTTTTCTGCCACTGCTCCATACACATCAGAATGTTTCTTGCTTCTTGTGTGCTACTGGGATATTTTGAGCTTGATAATATGGCCCCAGATTCTGAGCTGTTATAAATCTCTGCTTCCTATTAGACTTCTACCACTTGTTAGTAACTCTTTTGAAATGTGACTGCATATTCAGAGGGACCCGGATAGGCTGGAGAGTTAGGCTGATTCCAACAGGATGAAGTTCAACAAGGCCAAGTGACGACTCCTACACTGTGGCCACAACAACCCCCTGCAGTGCTACAGGCTGGGGACAGAGTGGCTGGAGAGCAACCAGGTGGAAAGGGATCTGGGAGTGCTGATTGACAGGAAGCTGAACATGAGCCAGCAGTGTGCCCAGGTGGCCAAGAAGGCCAATGGCATTCTGACCTGCATCAAGAACAGTGTGGCCAGCAGGAGCAGGGAAGTGATCCTTCCCCTGTACTCAGCACTGGTGAGGCCACACCTGGAGTGCTGTGTCCAGTTCTGGGCCCCTCAGTTCAGGAAAGACATTGAGGTGCTGGAGCAGGTCCAGAGAAGAGCAACCAGGCTGGTGAAGGGCCTTGAGCACAAGCCCTGTGAGGAGAGGCTGAGGGAGCTGGGGTTGTTTAGTCTGGAGAAGAGGAGGCTCAGGGGTGACCTCATCACTCTCTACAACTACCTGAAAGGAGGTTGTAGCCAGTGGGGGTCGGTCTCTTTTCCCAGTCAATCAGCAATAGGACAAGAGGGCACGAGCTTAAGCTCTGTCAGGGGAGGTTTAGGTTGGATATTAGAAAGTTCTTTACAGAGAGAGTGATCAGGCTTTGGAATGGTCTGCCCAGAGAGGTGGTGAATTCACCGTCCCTGGAGGTTTTTAAGACGAGACTGGATGTGGCACTGAGTGCCATGATCTAGTAATCACAGTGGGGTTGGATCAAGGGTTGGACTTGATGATCTCAGAGGTCTCTTCTAACCCAGTTAATTCTATGATTCTATGATTCCCTGTTTTCTGGTGGAACCTGTCCTAATATTTGACAGAAACAAGCATATACAGTCATTAATGTCATACGGTCAATGTAGCTACAAAAAGGGTACAGTTGTGATGTTGTGCTCATAATAAAACTGCCTTCTGAGTTTCAGTTGACCATGAGTTTTGGTGATGTTTATGGACAGAAAAATGCCGAGTATGGTTTGTAATACCTGGATCCAAGTATTTTGTTGCTTGCTATTTTTTAACTTCTGTCAAAAAAATACCAGGCAGAGTTTTGAGAATATGTAGACTAAAACAAATTAAAACTTGTGAATATTCTAAATTCTAATTATCCTTGAAACAAAGCTCTACGAAACTTAGGAAATGCAGTTTTGCAGTAAATTTAAGGTTAAGGAAAATATTTGAAGGTCTATAAATACAGTTTTAAAGCATAGGAAAACCTAGAATGTTTTGAGGATTGCGAGATGATAAATTGAAAATACCAACTTTTATAAAATAATTTACTTTAATCTGGGATTTCAAACAGCTTGACTTTTGAAGTCTATGGGGTCAAGATTGGGTACTTTAACTATTTTATCCCTTAACACATTTCTACTTAAAAAAAAAAATTATCCTTGACTCTGAATCCTTTGAACTAATGTATTTTGGGGAAAAGATAATTCTGGCAATACTTTTCCCTTAGGTGTGTTTTAATATACACTTAATATAACTTATTTCCAGTTTCAGATAATGGTCATGTGTGAGGAGGAGTTCTTAAGCTTTCTATCAAATGCTAGAGAACAAATTACGTTATAGTGTTAATGATTTTGAGAAACTTGGCATTTATCTTAAATTTGTTTTTGATTTCATGTTTTTAAATCAGGTGAAGCAATGTATTCTGGCTGCTTTGTACTAGAATGGAGCAAATGCAAAGCAACTTAAATATCTTGGGTATGCAAGAAGGTTTAAGGCCTGTGCCTGTTACCAATGCAGCCCAGCTATTGTGTGTGGCTGTGAATCTTGCCCTTGGTTTTCCATGTGTGCCCAGAACTCATACTTTTGGGGTGAATTCAAGACCAGTGAGAACTTAATCTATGTATTTTGACAGGGACCTTTGTGTTGCTGCTATCGTGACTCTTAGAATTGCCACTCGCAGAACAGCTCGTGTGTGCCAGGTAGTGATTGGTTTTGGGATGTCTGTGTTTAAGATAGCACTGCTACTGAGCTGTCAGTTACAGTAATGACAACTTACGTGTGTGTTATTGGAGATGGGTGAAATTTTTTTTCTAAAACTTGCATATTTTTGTATCTGAGAACTCAAAATCTTTCATCTTTGTATTTAAAATCAAATGTATTGATTTTCAAGTCTCAAGAGAGTGAAAGTCTGTTTCCAAATATCTTTCCATCAAGCACAGCCAAAGGATTTTGAATTTTACTACTGCACAGGCAGCTGTGATCTTCATAATTGGTTTGTGTGGGTGTTGGTGTTCAGCTCTCCAATGAAATTTGCCAGAAGAGAAATTAGATGCTTAATGAGATGGGAATTAAAGCAGAAAGTTGATGGTATAGATGATTTAGCAGTAATCTAAAGTGGAGCTAATTGGCTAGTATCTAAATTGTGCTTCTGATTGTTTGTTTCCCTCTGGGGGAAAATGTTATTGAAAAGTAGATGGCTGTTCGCCTGAAGTAAAAAAAAACAACACATAAGCTTCATGTCTTGGTATTTTGTTCTAACATCAATTTTTATCTTGTGTGTCACAACTGTTTTCTATTATGTGCATGGATCATAATATTAAATCTAAAAAGGTTGTAGTAGCAAAATCCTAGTCATGTGTAGGCCAGCAGAAGTTTTGCATTTTACATCATTAGTGCCAGAATTTCACTTTAGTTTGCTATGCAGTAGATGAATTTTTAACGTTTAAGTTTTGGTTGTCATCCATAGTATACTCATTAGTCAGCAGAATGCAAAAGGGATGTTTTGCCACCCAGAAAAGGAAGATTATTTATATATTCATGGACTTGTACTGCTGCAGTCAGAGTGAAAACTTTGTCTCCAAGGAAAACCTGCTGGAAGGATTTAAAATTAGGCTAAATATCTAAAGTACTTCAGTCAAATTAGTTAATATGACTGAGGGAAAGCAGAACACTAGCATGGAGATATAAAAATTGCATTTTTTAGGTTTTTTTCTCTACTGAAGGATAGTAATTTTAGTTTCCCTTCTTTGTGGTGAGATTTTCCTTTTGTCAGTTGTCAGTCAGATGGAAAAGTTCACCAAAGTCGGGTCTTTTAGGAGTGAACTCAACAGTTTCAATAAATGTGTCAGCCTCTGCTTTTTACTGGATTTCTACTTAGTTTATTGGTCAATACCATTTTGTTAAGCAGAAAACATTTAGAATATTAATGTGAATCATATTCCTTCATAATGCATTCAAAGGTTGTTACTTGCATCAGTAATAACTCTGAGAATATGTACGATTTTCACCTCACACCTGTGCAAGATGCTACATTTTGTACCATACCATGAGGCTGAGTTCTGAGCAAATACACTGCCAAAATTTCTCCTTTGGAAATCAGGCAGCTAGAGCACCTTAAGGAGACCTTTGTCCTGTGGGTTTAAAAACTGAAATATGATTTAAGCATTATCCCGAGTGGAGTTCCAGTCTTCTATGCCTTGGCTGCAGCAGAAGGGACCTTGTAGGGGATAGTTTTTGGGGACTCAATCTGACAGGATGTGGGATGTTTGTGGGGCTGTCAGGGTAAGCTGCAATGATAACCATTGTTTATATCTGTTCTGGAGCAAAAAGTGTAGAGTGCTTGGATTTTTATGATTTGTTTGGTTGGTTGGTTTTGTTTGGTTTTTTTGGTTTGTTTTTACAAAGATAAAATTTATTTTCCCTCTGGTACATGTTCATTGCTTATATCATTATGTTCTGATTTTAACTCAACATGAGTCAGTATTTATTTTCTTCATAGCAACACCCACAGTCCAGAGATTTTTGAAGATAGAACTATAGATGCATACTTGTGCCTTCATATTGGAATGATGGTATTATTTTGTGTGTGGACCTAATGTCATAAGTGCACATGCTTTTGTCCTGTGGCTGTTGCAATTTAGCTAGTGAGTATCCCATCAATTGATGATGCTTGCCTTAGTTCTTTGAATAATTGCTGTTTGGAATTAGTCAGTATTAACAGGTTTTAAAAAATATTTCAGGCCTTGTTTAAGGTATGTGTATTTTTTTTTCTTTTAGGTGGCCTGGCTCTAGCTCAAGTACTGTTTTTTTATGTGAAGTACCTGGTTCTATATGGTGTTCCTGCCCTTCTCCTTCAAATGGATGGACTCAAACCTCCAGCTCTGCCTTGCTGTGTGAGCCTGATGCACAGTTTTACTAAAATGTGGAGGTTAGTCCTTATTGCTTTTCAGACAGTTTATTACTGATACATGGCAGTCAGTGTATAAGAACATATGCGTGTGTTCATGTTCACATACGTGTTTGCTTTCATGTGCTTGTGCTTTTTCTCTTAGCCCCATGATTTTTCTTTGGTACTTTTAAAATGAACTTCACTTCAATGGTTACTTTTTTCACTCTGTGGACAGATAAGGCCAAGCATCTCTTTCACCATTTTCATCCTCATAATTTTTTTCCTTCCAGAGAAGGAAGATAAATGCTTGATTGATCACATGAAGAAAGATGTAGCTATAATACTTCAGTATGTAGAGTCATATGGTAGAGGAAGTCTTCAAGACACTAGAGGTACTATGAAAATGGTACTTGTTTATAAAGTAGGATGAATTTCTGGTTCTCTTTTGTTGTTAAGGAAGTTTCAGAAAAATATTTCTCCATAAACCTATGAGTTTTGAATCATGTGGTTGCTTTAAATCAGTGTTCACTGAAGTCTTTTCACTGAAAACTGTCTCCCGAGGGGATTCTGCTTAATATTTAGCTTCTGTGTAGCAGTGGATTCACTTGACTTCTCTCCTCCCTTGTTTTTCTCTGCACTATCCAATATTCTTTCAGTCTGTGGGATTCTGTGCCCCAGACGTCTAAAAACGTTCCTGAAATGATTTAGACTTGTCAGCTTTTAAGTGCAGAGACTCCTCATGTTATGTTAATGCAGAGCCTCTCAGAATGGTGCTCACCGTCTTGTCTCTGACTGCTTTGCAATATGAATAAAACTTTTCATTTTAGTCATAAAAACAGTTGGCCTGCTGTTATCAGTTTTATTGGATGAGATTTTAATTTTGTTTTCAGCTTGAAGCTAGCTGTAACAAGAAAGCTTTATAGTTTATAATAGTTAGCTACTGTAGATCTGTAGTATTCAAAGAAATGCAGCAGGCATAGAGTGCAGAACACAGGTGAACTATTAAAAATTATTTGTGCCACTAACAACTGCCTTGGTTTAAATGCTCTTTCAGGGTTTGAACTTAAGACCTGCAGAGTCAATATAGAAATCTGTCATTTTTACCAGGCACTCTCCTTAGAGTGGCATCTCTTGACCTGCTGGCCCTTGCAAGCAGAGTTGCAAACAGTAGCAGTTTTTCCCTGTTTCCAGTTCTTATTCCAGGGAATCTGTGTGTTGCTCTGGAGTTGCCAAATGAAAATAAACTTCACAAATACCAATGACACTGTTGTGCCAGGTAGTTGTAACAGGCTGTGAAAAGGTAGTCGGCACCTGCAAATATGTGGGGTGTGTCACAGTAAAAACACTGGGTTTCCCTTAAAAAAAATCATAATACCTGTTAGGAAATTGAAGCTAATATCTTAAGTGGAAAACCTAGTATTTCTTTATAAAAGCAAAAAATGTCAAGTGCTGATATTTACCTCTTGCCTAATTATTTAATTCATATCAAACATTCACTATCAGAAGTAAAAAGTTATCTCATAGATTGAACTTGTTTGTTTGCTTTGAGTGTTGAAAAAAGTCAGTTAATATATACCTGATTTGATTTCTTGCTCTCAAAGTCCTGTAGGTAGGAGAGCTCTCTGTAGCTGCTAGTGTTATGGGTCATTCACAATTATCTAAGAAGTTTTGTGAATGCCCTGAATTATGATGCCCTTATGCCTTTACAGTTAAACTCTTCAGTCACACTACCCAGAGGCTTTGGAGTCTTATATGGTATATTGCCACATTGTTACAGCAATGTCGTGTTAGAAGTAGCAATAACATCCTTTATTTCTGAACTGTATTACCCAATAGGACAGGAAGTTAGGAAATTAGGGGTTTAGCATAAAAGCCAGCAAAAAAGGGGGAAAGTAAGTGGCTCATGTTGTGAAGCCTTCAGAAAAGTGACACTGTTTCCTTAAGATGCTAAATAGGTTTTTCTGGTTTGTGAATACTTTAATGTGGATGTTTGTGACAACTTTATTAGAGTGGGTCAAATTTACATGTTAATAATGCAGTGCCTAGTTTTAAGCTGGTAGAGCGAGATGTGTATCAGACTTTGTTTTCATGAAACAGTAGTCTGGTAAAGCTTACTAAAGGCTTCTAATGGCCAGATTGGGAAATGGAGTGTCCGGGAATGATCCAGCTGATACAGAGTACACCACTGTTACCTGGCTGGCATCAGCAACACCGCTCAGGAAAAAAAGCACTTGTGTATGCTTGGCTCACTCTTACCCTTCTTGCTGGTGTCCACTTGGGAATACTGTCAGAAACAGGGTTTTATGCTGGCTAGGCTTTTGAAGACCCGGTTGTTGTTGTTGTTTTTATGTCTCAAAGCTCTTAGCAGTGCAGATCTTGAAGGAGAGAAGGTAGCCTGAAGAGAAAGGCAACATGAATGTCACAATGTAAGGAATGCAAATATGCTACTTAGGAGTCTTCCACCACCACCTGGTGTCCTTTAAGCATAACAAAGCTTTTGATCTGACCCATCCAGACCAATGTCACTTATAATTGGTACATGCTGACATAATTCACTGTGATACAGGAGGTGGAAGAGCTTTCAGTCAGGAAGGTAAGAAAAATACCACAGTGTGTCTAAAGTTTCTCTAGAGCTGAAAAGCAAAGCAGGAATCAAAGGACCAAATCAAGTATTCTCTCTCTCTGTTTATGGTACTAAACAATAAACTAAATTTTGTCCGTTCAGACCTAAAAATTAAAGACTTTAATTAAAAAAGTTATCAACCTTATAGTAGGTTCTCCCTAAGTCATATTTAATGAAGACAGTCTCTCAAGTCAAAAAATTATCAATCTTGTTTGCTGTCTTGAGACAAATACAGGTGTTGAATGTGTTACTGTGGCTTCATTTTACCAGGATATCATTAACTTTCTAAATATGCAGCTGCATAGCTAATAAATGCATGATAAATGTATTGCTATTCAAAACCTTTATTATAGCTGTGAAACAGTCTCTGAGCTCCTGATTTCCAGAGAGGATAGCAGTTCAGTAGCACATGAACTTAGTTTTTAATGTCTGCTTTACCTTAAGTCATAAGGAATTCAAATTTACTTTTTGTCACCAAGGTTAAAAGCAAGGAAGTGGATTCTGGGAGATAACCAGTGTTGCTGGAAACTTGCAAGTGCTTTTAAAGAATTAGCCAAAGCTGATGCCTGCCATACAGCTTTTCAGGTGGGCGTGTGAATTGTGTGGTGCAACTAGAAAAAGTTATGGAAATTTGCAAATTACTTCAATATGGAAAAATATCCTTGTGGAAGAGTAATGGTGTGGAAACTACAGAAACAACAGATAGTACATAACTAAATCCTATATCAGTTTTGACATTTTGGTAAATGACTTTGGCAATTTATTCCACAAAGAAACTTGTCAGTTTGTAAATTAGGACAACAGACCCACTGCTGTTTATGGAAAAAAAATTCGTGCTTCTATTTTTATGTTTCTATGCTTACACTACTGAGTGTGACAAGTGCTCTTCTGCAAAGATGTTGGACACACTGACTGGATATGTTTTGACATGCCGTGGGAACAGCATGGCATAAGAAACCAATTATCTCTGGTCATAGACTGATTTGAAATGTGCAGAAGCACAACACCTCTTGATGAAGATGTAGCGCCTCTCCTGAGAGAGCTGGGATTGTTCAACCAGGAGAAGAGAAGGCTCTAGGGAGACTTCATAGCACCTTCTAAGTTCTTAAAGTGAGGCTTACAAGAAGGAGGGAGAGAAACTTTTTTTACATGGGCAGATAGTGATAGAACAAGAAAGAAAGGCTTTAAAGTGAAAGATGAGAGGTTTAGATTAGATGTTAGGAAGCAATTTTTTACTCAAAGGTAAAGAACTGGTGAGGCACTGGAACAGCTTGCCCAGAGAAGCTGTGGGTGGCCCATCCCTGGAAGTGTTCAAGGACAGGTTGGACAGAGCCCTGACCAACCTGTTAAGAGTGGAAGATGCCCCTGCCCATGACTGAGGAGTTGGGACTAGATGGTCTTTAAAGGTCCATTTCAACCCAAATGGTTCTATGATCTCTTCTTTGTCTTTCCACCTTCAAATTTGCTCATTCCCAAGTATCTTATCCCAAAATAATTTGTAACCCAGTGTTTTTGGGACAAATTGTGCTAAATTTTGATGCATGTTTAATATAAGTTAGTCTCAGGAAGGGCAGAGGCTTTTCAGGAAGGCAGTAGGAAGTAGTGTTCGGAAAGTAAATTTCTCTGTAAACAGAATTTCATCTGGGATAAAGAACATGGAGTTGAAGAAATGCTGACAGAGAAAAATAAAAGATGCAATGATAAAGATCTGTCCATTTTCAAGTACTATGCTATAAATTCTAGATTCCACCTTGTATTTAACACCCTGATACTTGACCAGAGAAGAGTCTGACATGTCAACCCCCCATATTCTTGCATGTTAACAGGTGGACTAGGAGGGCTGTATTTTGGATGTACGGACACATATTCACACTTCTGTATGAACACATTTCAAGTTTATCCCATAGACATTTTGGTGGCATCCAAAAATTGCAAGTGGGTTATGATTTGCAAGAGATTGTTTGCAATTCAGTCTTGTTACCTGCCTCATTATTCCTAAAGCACTGTTTGTCTTACGTGGAAAAAATGTGCAAGGTCTCAGTGAATTGTTCCAGATTATGGATTAGCGTTTTGCTGGGGGCTAATCACATTCTTCGCTATAACCAATCTGTAGAAAATTCATGTACAAATGATATTTTAACTTTATCTGCATCTGTTTCTTCCTCATCCTGATACTTTTTGTCTGCATTTACTGTTGTTCCTGAAACCCTCCTCCCTCTGGAAATGGTTCCTTGTGTATGTCTATCAAAAAGGACTGTACCATGGATTTTTCCCTTAGTTTCAGATTCTTTTCTGGGAAAAGACAAGTCTGATACTGATGTTATGTGTGAGTGTGAGCACAAGAGATCACTGTGACCACTTGCAGTAATTTTGGAATGATGAATAGCATGCAAAAACTTCTCATCTTTTATTTCTG